CAGTGTAACAGATGATGACAACGACGATNACATGGGGAGTGAAAGGGCAAGTATATATGTATAGTGCGATATGATAGGTGATAGATAGTAGATAGCAACGATGAGCAGAATTTTATTGCGCTGTGGTGGCGACGGTGGTCAGGGGAACGATGGGGCTGGGAGGGCCCGTCCATCAATGACAAGCAGCACTGCTGGTCACATCATGTCTGCGGTCTTAAGGTGTTCCTGTACGATGGAATCTCTCACTGTCGCAACCAAGATCCATCAGAGAATGCATTCACACCGAGAATGGGAAACCAACCTGTCTTGAGTGTATTCGCAGTAGCTTCGGTGTCCTACAAGGACGACATGTTCATGTTGGTGACTGATGGTGATGAAGAAATGAAACAAGAGAGACATACAGTCACGGATGTCGCATAACAGTAACACATCCTGGGAACCAGGGACTGCTCCTTCAGTATATCCTTGAACTTTTGTTCAAGGTCTAAACAACGGATCAGCCCAAGTCCCCCAAAGAAGGCGAAGGGCGAGCACCACTAACATTTGATAACACTCCTTGCCTCATTCGGCCTTTCCCCATAGTTCGGGAGGAACTTCTTCACCATAACGCCGGACTTCAATTTACGCTTGAGAATATCGCATTTGTTGAGGAAGAGGATGAGGGTTGCTTTGACCAGGAGTTTAGAGGAACAGACGGAGCGCCAGAGGAGCAAGGAGTCTTTGAGACGGTTAATCTTGGAGTCTTCTTGGAGGCATTCGTCGAAACACGATATAGCTATTCAAAGTGAATGAGATTGGTTTGGAATGAGATGAGGGTCGAGGAGCTTACGCGCGAGGAAGATGATGGCGTCGACGTTGTCAAAAAAGGGAAGCCATGCTTGTCGCTAGTCATACATCATAGCATCAGACATAAAAACTGTTGGGCAGATGGAATAGACGTACCATCGTCCGTGATCCGCCTACGTCGTAGATGATCAATTCCTTTCCGAAATCACCCAAACTGCCTGCATGACGTAGTCATGTTAGTAGTACGTAACAGGAAATAAACGGGATGCACCTGCAAACAGCGTTGGCCCTTTACTCTGCTCGAATTGGATGTTGTACTCCTGCACGCCGAGTGTTCGAAGGCGGGCACGAACGACGTCGTCATCTGAAGGCTCGTAGGTGTGTGTCGCGATCCGGTCGATATCATCTAAGAAGCTGAGGTATGTGTAAATTGGTAAGGAGCAGAAGGGGGCACGAGGAATGGGGGTGAGGTGGATGGAAGGGGTAAAATAAGGGGAAATTAAACAGAGGTAAGAAGGCAAGGCTGGCAGGGGGTGGGGAAGTGACACGTAACAAGAAAGCACTCACAATCCGGCCCCGTCTTCAATCCTCACCTTCCTCTTTACCAACACCTTTCGAACAGCTTCATCCAGCCATAGCGCCTTCATGTCATCTCTACAACTCGCGATGATATGCGTAGCGTCATCGGAGGTATACGACCCCGAGTCGCGCGTACCGTGGCCATGATGACTGCCACGAGATGATGGCGTATGTACACCGTTCTCCAGGGCTTCGTGTAACCGCTTGACGCCGAATTCACATTGTTTTACTTTACGTGCTGTAAACATCGGGTTTCCGCTTCGTCTTTCGCCGCCTTGGTCACCATCACCTAAACTAGAGGGTGAGGGTCCTAGGGGGTCGACACCAAGGGATGCGCTGGAGTCAAATTCTTCCTCGTCCGATCCTGCACCTAAATGTTTCTTCAAATCTGCTTCAACTCTGCGCAAAGGTTCTAAGCGGAGTTCGAGAATTTGGTGTTGACTTGATAGAGTCGTTCGTAAACTTGAGTTGGAGTCCTTGGATAGCGATGAACGGCGGGTTATGTTCGCGAGAATGCCGACGCCACTTGTAGTCGCGCAGGGAATTGGGTCATCTTCCTCCTGCTCCTCTTCGTGAGAGGAAGTTGCTTGAACAATGGAGGGTGTTGGGGTGGAGGTGGTCCCGTTCATTTCTGTTTGGATTGTGTCGAGGATGGTGAGGACGGAGCGGACGAGGTTAAGCTGAATGACGGCGCGCCAGGAGAAACGTTCAGCTTTCCACTGAGCATGGGAGTATTTCATTCGAAAGTCTGTATTGGAGGTGATGAGGGATATTACAAGAACGGCGGGCACACAACGCACTTTTGATAGTCGTTGATTTACCTATGGGGGGTCGAAACACACGATGTGTAATGAGCAAAATCTACAGAAGGCTGAGGCAAATTAACTCACCGCTCTCTGACTGACCCAAAAGCAACAGTCGGACAAACCCATTCTGTCGTTTTAGAGCTGCTTTATCTTTCTTGAGTTGTTTGTCAATCTGATCGCTTATTTGACGCGCGTGAGCCTCTCTTTCTTCACGAGCGCCTCTCTCGGTTGGTGTTTCGTTTGGTGGTGGCCGCATAAAGATGGCCAACGGATCATCGTCGGTAGCTTCCATATTGAGGCTTAGGGGGGAGCTTCAGCATAACGTATAAGATGTCAGCAGGCGATGAAGTGTCGAAGTAACTCATACCGCGATTATATTAGTTAAAATTTTAAGAGAGCGAAAGTGTACGGGCGCCTGTGATAGGCTTCACTAGGAAGGTATACTTGAAGTGGGGTAGATATCCTGGTACACGACAAAGTCGCGACGGCGGAGCACAGCAGCTGACGAGATCAAAGAAGAAATCGTTAGCGTACTGTTTCTCCATAAACATGTAGAGAAGAAGATTAAGATGTGGAATCGACCTCCCCACAAGGATATCGCCAACATGAGAGTGCGCAGGTTGACTCACCGCTAAGGCCTTCCTGTGGTTTTCTGGGGTGGGTGGCGTTGGTGCTAGTGGAAGCCAGGAGAGAGCAAGAAATGATCACCTCTCGCTCCCACCTACGTATGTCGGTGTATAGCGCATTACAACCAAAAAGACATTAGCATGGCTTTTGACACGACCCTGCCTCAATGTAAAGTCGCCCAGCAACTGTTGGCAACGAACATTAATTATATACAAGGCCCATTACATAAGAAGATCGCCCCGATGCCTTCCGACTCCGAATGCCAATTACGGAACTGAGGATGAAACAAAATCTCGAAGATGCGAAATCATGTCGTCTAGAATGAAATAACAGGTGAAATCCTGGATGTCGTCGTCGTTGGCGGTAGCAATATGAACGTTGAACAACGTTGAACCTTGACATACATTATATTACATATCGAGGTGCAACGTTGGCCTGACAACCGTCGGAGTCCCAACTCATTTCCGCACCCTTGGCGCCCTTATCTAACATAATCCCTTTAAATTTCGTGTTCGGTTGCTTCATCTTCTAAGTAAGGGATGGCGCTGAGGTCGACCCTCGTGGACAATTCTGAAGTTGGCCACCGCCCACAACCTCTTCTCGCTTCAGTTACTCATTCCCCTCCGAGTCACCTCTCCGATGGGTATTTTCCAGGTAACTCTTGGTGAGATTCATGCTTCCTTCTCATATTGCGATTTCCTAACCATGTATAGGCCCTCTTCTGCTGGGCATCTTTTGTGAGGAATTTTTCCTACCGCTGAGGAGCCGCGATATGTGCTGACTTTTCCTTGGGTCCGCAGGTCAACGCCTATCTCTATGGGGTACTTACATTCCAATATGCATCGTATTACAATATTGGTGAGTCACCAGCTGCCGTTTCCCCTTGATCAGGTTCTGACCGCTCGACAAATAGCATTCAACGACGCGTTATGGATTCGGTCGGTGTCCGGTTTAACGATGCGGTCGCCTTCAAGACTGATACCATAAATATGGCTGGCAGACTCACCGTTTTTGCGTTACTCTGCCTCGACACTTTCCACAGCAGTTCGTGAGTTGAGCGGAGTATCTACGGCAAACGTCAAGTGATAACCTTGTTTAGATTGATCTACCTCGCTTGGGTCTATGCGTGCGTATCCATCGTTAACCCCTCGCCATATTGAATGCCAAACACCACTCACCAGTGTAGATGGCTATAACAATCCCTTCGCTTTGACCAGTACGTTTCTACCGAACCTGTTCGCGCTCGAGTTTGATCCTTTCTGTACATTAGGACCTGTTTGGCCTTATCCAGCATGGGTATTTGTAGCTACAGTCACGGCTTGCATAACGCAGGTGTTTTTGGCATATCGGTGAGTCGCCGCTTCATCATCTGAAGTTCCCAATGCTCATTCGTTTTTCTCCAGGATTCTCAGGCTTAAAAAGGGCATTGCGTTATACGCTACCGTGTTGGTTCTGGCTGCTGCCGCTTTCATTTTTGGCATTATCTTCGGTGTCAAGGTCTGCAATGTCAAAACGTATGCCAGCCATCGTTTCACAACGACTGAGTCTTGTCTTCGGAGCTGATTTCCTAATGACTAGCATGATGGAAACAGTGGGTATGAGCTCTCTGATATCTGTGTGGCTTTGTCTGGAAGTCGGCGTGAACGTCCTGATTACTGGTTCGCATTTGCGTTTGAACCGCTTGACGTCTTAGTAACTCCTATTTCGCAGGCATCTTATTGCATTTACTTTCACAGTCACGAACGGGATTTCAGAGGTCTGATAGTATAATAAACCGTCTTATGCAGACAACGGTACAGACAGGTGTCTTTCAATCCCCTGCGCCAAAGGCACTAACCTGACCTTTACATCGTATCAGGACTCTTGACCAGTGTCGTGTCTGTTCTGACGTTGGTTTTATACCTGGCTGATAGGCACACCGAGTTCTACAGCTTGTTCGGTGTACCAATCAGCCGCTTGTACAGCAATGTAAGTGTGTTGATTCCAAAAGCGCCATTGACACTGAAACGACTCCGTTTAGACACTCATGCACACACTTCTTTGTCGAGAAGAACTGCGTGGAATGATTAGTCTTCCTGAAGAGTCTACCGTAGGCTTCCCCTTTCTACTTGGAGGATGACATTTGAAGACTTGACCTCATAGCATATAACCAATAACATCCAACTTTTCGTACGCAAAGAGATAGAGATGGATGTACATACTGACGATTCGGGGTTGGCGAAGGTGTCACCGAGCGTTGGTGTCTGGAGTAGCAAACGTACAACGGAGGAAAAGTAATGGTTATCATTTACTAATCTATTCCAATTATTACTCTTGAGTACTTATCGGGTATGAACACAAGTGTTGGATTCATGACGCGTACGTCTGCATTTCTATATGTACTACTAGTACTACTGTTCAGGATGTACAGGGATTTCAAAGAGGCAATCCACTGGAATCAAATGTGTCCACTACACGCCCAAGACGATGCCGGCAAAAGATGCTTGTGCATGTCATCACACCCTTTGGAATGAGGGCGGATGTAAGATGGCAGCTTTGAATATGATATGAGGTTAGGTGAAAATAAAAAGGTCCATTTGGACCGGCACGGACAAATGAATTCAGAAAAATCAAGATAGACATTGTGTGGATTGAACCCACGACCTCATGCAAGGACATTGATATGCAAAGCAGGCGAGTTACCACTGTGACAAGAGCCCATATGTTCCGCATCAGGCTCTTGTCTTCTTTATCTTCCTCCTTCTGACGCCAAGCCACTTCCTCTTTTACTCCTCCTCATCAATACCAAACTACTCCAATGCGGATCTAAAAGCCGAGGATTACCTCAACTCAAGCGAACCTGTTATACCGAACCCTTTTGATTTTTGTCCGAGTTATAGTCCTGGCGATAGGATCGGCGCAAAGTATGGTGCTGTTATGCTTTCGAAGAGTAGGATGCATTTGGGGAGTGGCGCGAGGATTCAGAGGGTGTTGAATAAGGCGCTGGCGGGGCAGAGTGTTACTATCTCTGTTTTGGGCGGTTCGGGTGTGTATCCCTTCTTCTTCCTCTTTCCACCCAGAAACTCACATACGACTGCCCACGCAGTGTCAGCATGCCACGGAGCAGGGGACAAGCCTATCTCCCCTACATGCTACCCCTCCCGCTCCTTCCAATGGTGGAACACAGTTTTTCCACACCCAGCTATGGAACTGACAAATGGCGTCCTGCGACCCACGAATTCGGTATACTTTGGCTATTGTAACTCGCACCATCTCCCGAATCAGACGGATTTGGTTATTCAGTTGGATACGGAGGATGGACCGTACGTTTTCTTTTCGTTTCTTTGCTCTTTCTTTCATTTCTCGGCCGTTTTCCTTATACCATCTTTTTCTTTTCTTTTTGCTTCTGTTCGTTGTGCCCACCCACCTTATCATACATTCCATGCCACCTTAGGTCCTTATCGTCACCCGCCCATAAGACGGACTTTTCCCATACCAAGCAATGGTAGCCGCCCACGAGGCTATCCCATCTTGCTCACTTGCTCATTCATCTTCTACCGTGGGTCTCGTTGTGGCTCTCTCTTCCGTCAGGTTTTCCTTCAGCTATGGCCACTCCCATCTTCTTATGCTCCTCTTTGGAAGGCATGGCGCGGACGTGTGACCCTTCCCTTCTTTTGCTTCTCTTCTTTGCGTTTCTTTGCGTCTTTCTTCAATTTCGGTGACACTGGTTTGATCGTCCCCTCGCCCACCCAGCGGTGTTTGGCAGGCAGCCTGTCCATGTTCCCTTCTTTCTCTTCTACTTAAATTATGGCCGAAACCTCTGGAGAGAGCCTCCTCCCTTTTCGTTTCTTTTTTGTCCTTCTTTGAGCGCGACGAGCCATTGTGACCTACCTTTTGCTTTTTATGGGAACCCGCGGCGCAGAGGTGCGATTCACCTCCCTTCTTCTCTTCTCGTCGCGTTTCCATGTGGCTTTTCCTTTCCTTTGGTTGTCCTCTTTATAACCTCCAGGTGTTCCCTCACCCAGCGGCATTTGGAAGGCAGCCTGTGCATGTTTCTTCCTTTCTTTGTCCTTTGCGTTTGGACTTTGCCTTCATCTTCGATATCTTTTCAGGCATCACTTTCAGCGACTTCTATACTTTTCCTGAAAGTTGGGGTCTCTCTTGTGTCATCCATATGTGACCGTTTTTTTGCTTTTTTATTGTATTGGTTTGTCTTCTGCGTTCTTATCATGCCGCACATCTTATTGGGAGCACTCTTGACTTTGACTCCTCTGGATGTTGGGGCTCTCACATGGTCGTCCTAGCGACCGCCCCTCTATGTTTTTCTCCTTTTCCTTCTTGTTTCCATACGTCTTTCTCCAATTTCGGTGACTTTGGTTTGAGATAACATCTGTCCCCTCACCCACCTAGCGGCGGCGTTCGGCAGGTAGCCCGTGCATGTTTCTTTCTTTCCTTTTAATCTTTGTTTGAAAGCTCAGGCAGAAGCGTCCTTTCTTTGAGTTTGTCTTGTTTGTCGCCACCAGGATCCTTGTCAGGCCTTACCTTCCTCCCCCCTTGCCACTTCTATCTTTTTTAAAAAAATAGGGGTCTTCCTTCTGTCATCGAAATGTGACTGCTTTTTTGCTTCTTTTCTATTGGTTCAACTAAACGATTTGCGTTCGTCTTTTGTGTCCTATCATCTCCGCTATATCTTGGGGGCAGTCCAAAGTTTGACTCTTTTGGTCTTTTACTGCATGTTGGTGGTGGTCCTAATCCCTTCTTTGTCTTTCCGCTTCATCTTCACCTTCTTCATCCTTCAACACTTCCAGTTTAAAGTTCCCTTTTACATTCATTCCTCTTCCTCTTCCTCTTTCTCCCCTTCTCTTTTTAGCATTGAAACTAACCTATCCCACAGGAACCAAGACGTGATGGACCCACTTTGAAATGCCATCCTCATCAGACCCGACAAACCCGCCGTCCTCCTCCTCCACCATTTCTCACCACAAACCCACCAAACCCACAGTTTTGCAGGGCCAGAGCACTGGCAGAACATCGTCGCGCAATTCAACGATGTCCCACACATTTCCGTCAAATCTGCCCTCTTCCCCGATCACATATGCGATCCAAAGTCTATCCAAAAGTACTTTGTTGATCCCGTCCTTACTAGCCCTTCCATGAACTCATCTCGGAGATACTTGTGGCGTACTCCCAGAGTCAGATATGTGCAGCGTGGAGTGTGGCTACTGTATCGTCACATGAAGCTGTCCCAGTGCATACCGCAGGATCTGAGGGAGGTGTAGGCGATGCTCATGGACTATTCGGCGGCATAGGTCAACGCTCCGGAGTCCCTCAGCCAGAAAAGGGTGATCTAGCCATTGATGCAGCTGTGGAAAAGAAGAGGGCAGCTGCTGCGGCAGCAGCAGCTATGAAAGACCGGGGGGATTCGTCTCACTCCTCCTCCTCTTCCCCCAACTCCTCACCGTCCCCTCTGGCCGAATCAACACCCGACCAAACGGGAACCGGCCATTCAAAGAGATCGCACCGTTCTGCGTCTCTGCAAACGACCTCATTAACCCCTTACCACCGTCCTTGTTCTACGGCTCGGGGTGGTTCGCAGACCATGCGAGCGGGAGTGATGGGGATGCCCTGATTACGGCTGCACATTATTGGCATTCTGTGCTTCCAACGAGTAAGCTTAGGATACCGATACAGGTTGGAGGGGGGGATATTGGGGTGTATTATTTGAGGGAGCTGGTTGGGGTCGTTGGGGAGGGGAGTTCGGTTGAGTGTTGGGTTGATGCAAGGTTGATGATAATTATGCTGGTGTGAAGGTTATCGAGAATGCGGCGGATATTGGGGATGCTTTACCTACATACGTCCTATGATGGTTGGTTGGTGTAGGTTGAAAACAATCGACCATCATGTTGGACGAGGCTCTCATTTCGTGGAATGTCAGTTGTTGGGTAAAGAAGGACAGAGTGTGCCGATGTTTAAGATCATTGGGATTTTTGCGACGTGAACTCTCTGTTACTTACTGAAGGACTGAGTAGCGTACGGACGTTCCCTGGTTTTTAGGATGTAGAATATGATTTTGTCAATTTTTGTGTACTGTGTGTATTCGAAATGCACACGGGAACTAGGGAGATGAGTGGACCACCACCACCACCACAACTACGACCCAGTTAAAACGACCCATTGCCACGCCTTCAGTAATCTTGTGAACTAGAGAACTTCCAGACTGTTTCCAATCTCAACTCGCAGTGCGCATCAAAACACCCTGGTTTACATATTCAGTAATCCAGGCACCCCTTGCTTCACCAGCAAGTTGCACGAATTGAATGACAGACGCCCTGACACTGCCCTGCCGTGTCTTCCCTTGTCCTCATCTCTCGCACTCATAATCATGGCCGACCAAATGTCGCCCACTGCAAAGAAATCGAAGAAGAAATCCAGAGGCATACGAAAATTCATTCCAGATCTGAAGTCTCCCAACGAGTCGGCTCACCAGTCGAATTCCACTCGGGTTTCTGTCTCCTCCGCATCAAGCGCTCACCATGGAACCGATGCAGGAAATGCAGAGCAGAGGGCTTCAAGTAAGTATACTATTGGCTCTATCTTAGTGTTATCAACGGTGACTTGACTTGTGTCCAGGCGGCAATGCTACCTTAGATAACAGTATGTACTGTCCTGGACTCCTACCTCGCAGACCTAGCCGATTCAGCTCATCCTCCAGGTCATACCGCGGCCCCTTCCCAGTCGGCAAGACCTTCGTCAAGTTCTCCAGATCTGCAGGAGTCCGCTGTGGGTCAAGGTGAGATGCGATTTGCCGAATCTTTGTGTCTGGGAGGTTGATATCGGACTCTGACTCGTCTAGAAGAGGACAATCGCGAAGCCAGTCTTACTTTGACTCCTGTTGCAGGACCAGTCTCGCCGAACACTCAACCTCATTCCGAGCGAGGGCGCTCATGACCCTCCCCGACTCGACCTCACAAAGGTTCCTGCTGCTGGGGCAAGTAGGGCGGAAAGACCAGACAAAGGAGACCGACGAGGAAACGCAAGTGTGTGGAGGGAGATTTCGAGAAATGGTATGCATGCAGAGTGCTTGATGGGCCACAAGGTTCGTTTCACCTGTTTTATTGTGTGTGGCTTTATCTAAACAGCATTTCCGTAGCAATGGTACAAACGCCGAAAACCGGACGCGGATTGCTATGTTGGAGAGAAGTATATGGACCCCATGGAACATGAGGATAATTGTCAGTGTACGGAGGAAGATTACGAATGGTACGTTCTTATCTCTCACTTACTACTAAATCTAACCTCTCCTTCGCTAGCGACTACAATTTCGTCCGAAATGGAAAGGATTGCGTCCCCGTTGGGCCGGAGCCGATTCCTGCTGGCGTATGTACTGGGATCCCCGACCAGACGTACAAGGGCTCCTCGGGATGGAGGAAGATTCCTGGGAATACCTGCGTTGATGGCGTCAAGAAGGATGAGAAAGTTGATACGAAGTGTTCGCAAGGTTTCCTTTTTCGTCATTGTTGGCTTGAGACATTTCTGACTACCACCAACAGCACAACCTGCTCCCGGGGAAATCACCCACCAAATTGTAAGCTTTGACCGTTGTAATTCATTTCACGTTGAACTTAACCTTTCGCAGCATGACTTCAAACATCAGATCGTGCAACATGCGTACTTCAAGAACCCCAAAGTAAGCTGTCCTATTGACGCCGTATCTCTCTCGTTCTGACGTCTGCCCAGGTCAAAACCATTCTGGTTCGTCCCATCGACCACACCATGTGGCAATCCAGCAACGAAGGTTACAGCTGGATGCAAATCCACCTGAACACCGCTTCCTTGCATTCTACCACCACAAATACTCGGACGATTGCGCCTACCTCATCACCGACGCCGACACCTTCTACACAACCAACAACGGATGAACCCAAAGCCCCAACTCCACCAAACACCTTCGGAGCGCAAGTCATACACTTCCACCCGAACACTGACAACCTCATCTGGACGGGCAACAGAGGCTGCTCGGCCCAAGCGCAAAGCTGACATGCAGAAGCCCAGTACTCCAGGGATAACGGGCGCAAGTGGTCCCTCATTGATAGCTACGTGTGGAATCGCGCATGGGCGAAAGACGCAGAGCTCAATACCCATCCGAACGAGATCATTTGCGAGTCCTATCGGGACAAGAAGGGCAACCAGCGTCTATTTCAGAATGAAAACCCGATGGAACTGGTGACAGGGTCAAACTATTACGCGAATAAAAGGAAGGTTTTCGATCATGTTGTTGGCTTTGCGAAGTTTTCAGTCGTTGCTGAGGTAGGTCTTCGTATGGTTTTGTTGCACCGAGGGTTTTACGCTCTTTCGTAGATGATACCCGAGAGACGCTCGACGGAATACATTTTGCAACTGGCAAATTCCCACCCAGCGTGCACCCGGAAACCCATGTGAGTATTCTTTCTTCCCTGTCTGTATGATCGCTCTGGATGGCCCAGTCTTTCAGGCATACACTGTCTTAGAGTCAAGCACGAGATCGCTTTTCCTTCACATGACAATGTCGGAGGCTCCGGCTCCCTTCTGGGGCGACATTCTGAAGTCCAACTCAAACGGCACGTACTTCGGTCTTGCGCTTGAGAATGACAATCAGGACGAACAGGGTTACGTCGATCTCGAGAAGATGATTGGCCTGGATGGCATCGCTCTCGCCAACGTCGTGTCCAACCCCGCAGACGCAACGCTTTCAGGCCATAAACAGGTGCAGAGCCGAGTCACGCACAACGACGGTATGCAGCTCCTTCACCATAATTTCGTTCGCTGTTTTGAAACAGGAAGTACGTGGAGGCCCTTGACACCGCCACTGGTTGACTCACAGGGGAACAAATACTCATGTGAGGGTACAGTAAGTGCTGTTTATCTCCCACCGGACATGAGTCTGATCTTTCCTAAGTGTGCCCTTCACATTCATGGCTACACCGAACAGATGGATCCACGAGCCACCTATAGCAGTCCTTCCATTGTTGGGGTGCTTATGGCTGTCGGAAACGTTGGTGAAACGTTGGCTCCTTACAGCGAGAGCGACACCTTCCTCAGCCGCGACGCTGGCTTCACATGGCAAGAAGTCCACAAGGACGCCCATTCATGGGAGTTTGGCGACTCCAGATCGATTCTTGTACTAGCTAACGATGAAGAATCCACTGGTTCATATTGACTTCACGCAGCTGACTTCAAGAAAACGTTCGCGGATTTTATTCCTTCATTTCCTACGCTAACTTCTGTTCCTTAGGTGACCTTAGCACTGACAATCCTGAAAAGGATACTTTGAGATGTGGAGCCCCAGTGAGAACCGCCCGCAGCAATGTCTCTTCGGCCGCCAGGTACGACGATTTTCTTGCTGAGGGGATTTACGAACTCAACGTCCAGTTTAGACACTAGGCTACCACCGCCGCATTCGTAACACGGACTGCATTGTGGGGGAACAAGAAAAGGCAGCTAGCCGCGTTGTTTTCAACTGGGCTTGCTCGAAAGTTGATTTCAAATGGTAGGTAAATCTTCTTTGATCTCCTTCAACATGATACTTAGTCCCGCTTTAGCGAGTTCAACCACGTTAAGAACGCCAATGACGAGTCTGAACTTGTCCCCGGTACAACTCCTCTACCCGACAGCGATGCGGTTTGCAGAAACGGCGAAGAGTTCTGGTACGAACGGACAGCCTTCCGTTTGATCCCCTACTCCAGCTGCACGGATGGTGAGAGACCCGATCGTGGTCGCAAGCATCGCTGCCCTGGCTTCAAGTTTCATAGCGCTCGGTTCTGGCTATTCGTGCTTCTCCTCCCATTTGGTTTCACGGCTCTTAATGCTTTTTACTATTATCATCGGAGTGGCCTCGCCAGAAGGTACGTTTATCCTGCATCTCCGTCATTGCTTACTTACGCGATACTTTTTGTACCATCCACCTCCCTGGAGACGGAGGAAGACCCGCGTACGGTGGCGACATAGGCGTGGTCGCTACTCTCGCTTCTGTTCCTTGGTCCATTGTTGGCGTTGCGGGTATCGCCTGGGAATGGGTCGTATCACATGTGGAGGGTCTTGCGCCTGGTGCAAGAAGCGGGTACAGGAACTTGCCAATAGGCAAGGATGCACAGGTACTGAGGTTGGAAGACGAGGATTACATGCACGTCGATAGCTATGCTATACATACGCAGTACTGCCCTTATTTATTCATACCATATCGTACTGCAAGAGTCCCCATAGGGCGCCCAGAGCTTTACGAAGAATAGATAAGTATATATAATGTTCTAGCCGAAGTCCATATGCATGTAGTCTACTCTGCTTTCTACGTGACGATAGTTGCCCGTTGGGGCAGTACTATATGAATGATTGGCTAGGCAAGCATAGTAGAACTATGAAAGGCATGGCGGCGAAGCATGGAATGCGAACGAATTGGCCAGTCAATGAAGAGAAGGGGAAGAGGAACGCTGACAACGGTGAATGTGTTGGACTGAATATTCACTGCAGCCTGTTCGGCTACTCCGTATGTCGCAGACCCGAGCTGTGTGATGACAATGAGCAGGAGGGAATGCAAATAGGAGAGTCAACCAACGTACATGAGCGGCGAACTCAAATGGGTAGATCGACGAGTCGGCGATTCGTACATTGGCTAGAACACAAGTTAGTCTCACTTCCACCTTCAATTAACTCGATCCGAACAACAACTCACCCGTTCCACGTAACGACACCGCCCAACTCCTTGGGGAGCATCGAGCAGCTTCTAGCTATATGGTACTGAGTGGAAGCGCCCGATCCCCGCAACCATGCTTCTATTTGCTCATTACTCTGGACGTCTGGGCCGGGAGTGATTTCTGTGCCTAGGGTCGTTCCGAAGGCAACGCCGACGTTGCGCGCGAACTTTACGCCTTCGCGCATCATAACCACATCTATATGATATAATTAATTAACGGGAAGTGGGGATGTATGGTGAGAGGCTTGCCTGCGAAGTGGGAATAGTACTGTGGGTCAACGACGATACTGGGTCGATCCACGGCTGAAATCCATATGTATCTCGGTTAATTTCTTAGTACAGAGGGGGGGGTGAACAGCATACCAGAATGGGTGTTGAATTACAGCCTGTATGCTCACCGTTCCCGGAGAGATAACGCTGAGCAACAATTCCAATTGCGCCGTTTGGTCCATAATTTGTGCTGTGAGGTTATACACCGCCTCGTACTCTTGCACGACCTCCAGGTACTGGGTCGGCACAAGACTGCTTGTGGAGTCGTCCACAGCAGCTTGGAATGTTGCGGAATTGTTGGTGAACCCGAAAAGAGCGGAATTGTTGACAAAGGCGACTGCGTCGTTGATGAACGATTGAAACTCCAGAGCTTTCTGTATGATTGTTATGAGGATATTCATAGCAAATATGAAGCAGCGTACGCACGGAGAAGTCGAATCCTGAATAATAAATGTCGCCAGCTGTTTTTAAGGGGGTCCACACCTGTGGTCTATCGTGCGATTGGTGAGACCCAGAGAGGTGATAACGACATGACTTACCATATCATCTTGGAGATGTTGACCGACGCCGGGAAGCTCGAGCTTCAATGGTACGCCCCACCGCGTCCAGTACGTCTTTTAGTCCTTTGGTCCAACACCGCTATGAAGCAAAATCTTCGGACTGCCCAAAGAGCCTATTTACATTATATTCTCGCTGGCCCCTCTTATGTTCGCATAATGTAGATAGGCGCGAGATGGTAATGTGGTGAAGAGGAGGGTAGTGGAGACGCTGTGGGAGAGAGGGGGAGTAAGTATTTAAAAAAGTGCCTGTTTTATGATTGGCGTGGGGTCAGTGGGGAGTCGGTTCGGACAATGGAGCACATTGAGCGGGCATACGTATTTCTCAAAGTGGGGTTGCAGAGGAATTTGACGGCGAGAAGATAAAGGTTCAGCGCTTCAGCGCTCAGCATTCAAACGTTCAGCTCAATTTGGATTGATGACGTTTTCTTGTTCACAATTATCTGAATCACTCTTACTTTCGCTCCCATATTCACTGCACCTGAGGCACCTTGTCGTTTTCCGTTACTCATCTGGCTGTGAGAAACGCCAGTGAGTACTAGGACTCGGAGGGTAGGACCAATCGCATGAAACCTATCTGTGTCATCGTGTGCCCACTTTCAGACCTTTTTTTTTTCACCACCATCTGACGACGAACATGCTTTATGTAGGTGCTGCCCACCGGCACCTTTGGCCAAGGAAGAAAACCGTGCTCAGCCAGTTTTGCTATCTCTCTCGGATCGTTTAACCGCGTGTGTGTCCATTGCAAATGAAGTTGGTCTCGGATACATGAGAGGTGGAGCTAATGAGTAACTAAGTACGTGTTTCTCAGATTCATCCAGCCCTCTTCTCTCTGACAACTTGTCTCCCCCGTCATCCAGTGCCGCTCAAGTCTCTTTCTGATGCAGACCGGTCACCACCCATAATGTCTGCCTTTGTGACGCAAACTCAAGCAGCATATACACTGCCCGTCAACGTTTCAATCATAGGTTACCACTGGAGGACGAGTCAGGAACATTGCTTCTCAGATTTGTATGGTACGTTCTCGCTCCATCTCTTTTCAAGTTTTAGGTTTGACAATGCGTTCATTAGCACCGTACCATCATCCCCTCGGACTCGATTCACGCACGCCAGGGATAGGCGCCAGGCTCCGGTCCCTAAGACGATGTGCTGAGAACGACGTGTGGCAGGAATGAGTTTTCACGAGGTGCAGAGGAGAGGATAGTTGTTCAGGAGAAGGGTCAACGCCAGTGCTCTATCGCAGGTACGAACGTCAACTCTTCGACCAATCAATTCTTGTTAAGACTTCT